TTATTATTATTATTATTATTATTATTATTTCATACTATATGTTTTATTTGAATTCAACTTGAACTAGCAAAAATATGAAGCTTTCATACTATTTCACATACTATGTATGTGTCTCCTTGTCTGCAGCACCTCCAGGTTCTCCCCCCAGGTCCTGTGCTCCCGTTGGTCTCCCCTAGTCACCCCTCTGTAGTTTTTCTATAGGTTCAGCTTTTCATTTAATTAGTCTCTTTTAGTGTGTTTCTTTCCCCACCGTTTTTTTTAGTTATCCTCCCTCCTTAGATCATTAGTTGTTTATCTTGCTCCTCTTCTTTAGGTTTTGTTTTTATTCTTAGGTCATGTTATTTTCCCCTCCGCAGCTCACTTTACTCTCCCTGATTAGTTAATTGATTTCTCTAGGTTTCTCTCCCCACGCACCTGCAGCTCATCTCCCACTCATCCTGCCCCAGTGTATTTAACCCTGTCTGTGTCTCAGTGTGGTGTTGGTTCTTTGTTTCATGTCAAATTCTATGTAATTAAGTAATTTGTTTATTTATGTGTTCATCGTTTCAGCGGTCAGCCCGCCTCTCAAACTGTCTGATTAACTAACATTGTCCAAATATGTGCTGCACGTTTTCTGAGAGAAGTCATGAAACCCACATCAGAGTCTCCTCAGGACCTTTCTTAGCATTGTTTTCTATGTAAGTGTGGCTTTAAGGTGCTACATTAATGAAAGCCTGATGTCAGTAACAATCAGCAAGGCACTGCAGGGAATCGAACCCCATCTCATGACTGAGAGTACCGTTACCGGTGCCTTTTGCCTTTTGTTGGTGACGCGAAAGGCTAAGCAAAACCTGCATCGCCCACATTTGTGTTATAGCTGCAGAGTAAACATTTGCTCTTTTACAGATGAACACAAATGTAGCTGATGCAGGGAAAATAACCTTTACAGATGTTTATTAACACAAACGACGAGTCCTGATTGGGTTCTGAGAAAGTTTTTTAGCTACAAACATCTCCACCATGCAGCCTAATTAATTAAAGTTACTGAGTTATCAAGATTTTGGTTCTCCATGCCAAATAACCACTATCTATCAGGTGGCAGGTCCCTTTTCAAAATTTCTTCAGGGATTTTCTAATTGTTGGTTTGTTCTTTGTGTGTTTTTTCCTACTTAAGGTGTTTTCGTTCATCGTTGAGGATGAGGAGGAAGAGGGATTTTAATTTTGACCCTCTGTGAATCCTGACCCCAGGTCCAACCCACCTCACCTGGTTTCTCTCAGTGTTGAGGAGCAAATGTTCCACTTCAAGCTCCTCTTGGATGTCTGAGCTAATTTGTACGGTGGTTCATGCAGGAGGCTGTTTCATAAAAGTGATTATTTTGGAGAGAGGATGATATTTCTGAAAGACGCACACAAAAAACTTATAAAATTGTGTTTGCATGAACCACACTGCATCGTGTTTTAGGATGGCAGAAATCCACTTTAGTATAGGCTTGCCTGCACTAGTCCTTAGCTTATCAATCCATCACATACCTAACTCATAACTAAAGATAATTTAGTCACCAGTTAACCTAATCTATCAGGTGGCAGGTCCCTTTGTTGAATTTCTTCAGAAATGTTCAAATTGTTTGTTTGTTCTTTGTGTATTTTTTTTTCTAATTTAAGCTGTTTTCCTTCATCGTTGAGTATGAGGAGGGTGGGGGATTTTTATTTTGATCCTCTATGAATCCTGACCCCATGTTCAACCCACCTCACCTGGCTTCTCTCAATGTAGAGGATGCCTGTACTAGCCATTAGCTGATCAATCCATCACCATAGTCATGACTAGGGATATTTTACAGTCACAGATTAACCTAACCTGCATGTTTTTGGTGTGTGGGGGGAACCCGAGCACCGGGAGTAAACCCACACATGCATGGGGAGAACATGCTAACTCCACGCAGAAAGGATGCAGGATTTGAACCTGCAGCCTTTGAGCGAGGCAACAGTACTGTCTGCTGCGCCACCATGCAGCCCTGTTTTTTAAACTAACTTGTTTGTTTTTCATGGGAGAGGGTTGAAGGATTATTTTTTGGTTCTTTGGGAGTTTGTGGTTGTTTGTTTTAGGGGGGGTGGATAGAACATGTGAAGGACAGTGGTTTTAGCCACTTCCATCAGACAAGTCCTTTCTCTTCCACCTCTGAGGCTTTCTAAGTCCCAGAAAATGTCTCAGTCGTTTCCAAACTGAAGACTGTTTTTTCTTTGGCTCTGAGATGTTTTCAGAGACCAAAGTTTGTAAAGACTCAGGATCAGAGCTGTTAGTTCCTGTTGGGAGGACGTCTTCTCTAAGTTCAGTCACTTCCACAGCTGGAACAGGGATCAGCTCCTTGCTTGGTTCCTCTCTACGAACTAGTTTCCTTTTACGAGGACCAAACTCATCCCTTTCTTTCAATTCAGCAATGAGAGACTGGTTTAGCTGGACTTGATTGCTGAGCTGGCTTTCCAGGTGTTCAACCCCAACTTTCAAGTCCAACTCTTTGTCAGACGCTGTTTTTTGGATCACATCGATCTCCTGATGTAAACCATCATTTTCCAGCGTCAGTTTGATGATTTCAGTCTCACTCTTAGCCTGTATTTCAGAGTGAGACGTCACTTCATCTTTCAGTTTTTGGTCCAGATTTTCTCTTTGCTGTTTTAACTCAGAAACCTCAGCTTCATGTTGGTTTCTGAACTCCTGGTAAGAAGCACTGATCTTCTCCAGTTGTGCAGAGAGCTGCATTTCCTTCTGCTCAGATGTTTGTCGCAGATGGAAGAGAGCCTGATGGAGGTCGTCTTTCTGAGTTCTCAGCTGGAAAAGCTGCTGTTGGTCGAGCTGCATTTTCTCAGTGAGAATCTGAATTTCTCTGTCAGACTGTTCTTGCAGAGAAGACACTTCCTGCTGATGGGCTGAAATCTCTAGCTGGTATTTAAGACTCAGTTCCTGATTTTGGCTCTGCAGTCTGTTCATTTCAGTTCTGAGAGTCCGGTTTAGCTCCTTCTCTGCTTGGAGCTCAGATGAAAGTTGCTCTAAGTTTTTAATATGAGCAACCTTCAGTTCTTCATAATCCTGCTGAAGATGTTTCTTTTTACGATGTTTAACTGAAGTCTGAACCTGAGAAGCAATCTTGGCGTTACTGAGAGTCTCTGAATTGCTGTATTTCTGAAGTCTCTCGAGTTCTCTCTTCGTTTCTTTTCCTTTGTTGATATACATTTCTTTCAGAGTCTTCTGTTTCACCAAATTAGCTGTCGCTTCATCTAGTTCTTTCTCCAATTGGCAAACACGTTGATTCTCGTTGAACCATTTAGTTTGCTCCTGTTTCAAAAGAGCATTCAGTCTCTGAACCTCGTTCTGCAGACTAAGCTGATCCATGGAAGCCTGTCGAGCACTGGCTGTGGTTCTCTGGTTAGCCATCGGATAAAAGGTTTTAAGAGTAATGCTGTGAGCAAAAACACTGTCTGTAAAACACCGTGGGTAAAATACTGGTGATTAAACCGCTGGGGATACGATCTGCTGAACTCAAGACGACAAGGCCTGCTGAGAGCTACTGCAGCCTGCCACTCTGTGAGCTAGTGAATGTGGTGTGATGATGTCATGCTATGATGTCATATAGTAGATTCGTGTCCTGGTCTTCCTCTGCTCTCCTTCATTTGTCTTTTTGTGTCTCCATCCCCCTCTAGGATCCCTTTATGTTTCTCCTTGTGTTCCTCATGTGTCCCCTTGTCTGCAGCCCCTCCAGTTTCACCCCCCAGGTACCCCCCCCCCCCCCCCCCCAGGTCCTGTGCTCAAACTTCAGAATCTACTACACTATGAGGTCATATAGTAGATTATAAAGGTTGCCCTTTTGGCAAATGAATTTGATGAATGAATTTATTTATCAAATGCATTTATCAAATTAATTAACTCTCTCGATAAATGAACTAGATAAATTAATGTGACAAATCAATTAATTTATGTAATTAATTTGATAAAGCTAGCTTGTGTTTGGCACAGTAGTCATGGTAACCGAGTTGGCAGAGCCTACCTTGTTTTCTTTTGTTCTTTCTTCATTTCAATCCTTTTTTAAGATGTTTATTTGGCTTTTGCAATTTATCTTTTTTTTACTTTCTCTTCATTTGTTAAGCGGGTTTAGGTATCTTCTTCAGCAGGCAGCATTCAAATAGAAAGGCAATTTATAACGTTTTGATGAATTAATTTGATAAATTAATTCATTTATCAAAGGTAATATTTATTATCTCCTGGGCTTGAGTAGGGTAACCAGATCCAAACTTGCTGAATGTGGAAAACGAGACTACTCAGTGTGGGTCAACGTGAAATTCCAATTCGACAAGATAAATTAAAATATACGTTTAAAAAAAACATTATTCTGTCTCTTAGCTCTTACATCTCTGTTTACTATGTGATAAACATAAAAGTGTTGTTAATATTATTATGAATAAAAAATTATAAATAATTCTAATAATAATAATAATAATAATAATAATAATAATAATAATAATAATAATAATAATAATAATAATAATATAATAATAACCATCATAATAATAATAATAACATTATTATTATTATTATTATTATTATTATTATTATTATTATTATTATTATTATTATTTCATACTATATGTTTTATTTGAATTCAACTTGAACTAGCAAAAATATGAAGCTTTCATACTATTTCACATACTATGTATGTGTCTCCTTGTCTGCAGCACCTCCAGGTTCTCCCCCCAGGTCCTGTGCTCCCGTTGGTCTCCCCTAGTCACCCCTCTGTAGTTTTTCTATAGGTTCAGCTTTTCATTTAATTAATCTCTTTTAGTGTGTTTCTTTCCCCACCGTTTTTTTTAGTTCTCCTCCCTCCTTAGATCATTAGTTGTTTATCTTGCTCTTCTTCTTTAGGTTTTGTTTTTATTCTTAGGTCATGTTATTTTCCCCTCCGCAGCTCACTTTCCTCTCCCTGATTAGTTAATTGATTTCTCTAGGTTTCTCTCCCCACGCACCTGCAGCTCATCTCCCACTCATCCTGCCCCAGTGTATTTAACCCTGTCTGTGTCTCAGTGTGGTGTTAGGTCATTGGTTCATGTCAAATTCTATGTAATTAAGTAATTTGTTTATTTATGTGTTCATCGTTTCAGCGATCAGCCCGCCTCTCAAACTGTCTGATTAACTAACATTGTCCAAATATGTGCTGCACGTTTTCTGAGAGAAGTCATGAAACCCACATCAGAGTCTCCTCAGGACCTTTCTTAGCATTGTTTTCTATGTAAGTGTGGCTTTAAGGTGCTACATTAATGAAAGCCTGATGTCAGTAACAATCAGCAAGGCACTGCAGGGAATCGAACCCCATCTCATGACTGAGAGTACCGTTACCGGTGCCTTTTGCCTTTTGTTGGTGACGCGAAAGGCTAAGCAAAACCTGCATCGCCCACATTTGTGTTATAGCTGCAGAGTAAACATTTGCTCTTTTACAGATGAACACAAATGTAGCTGATGCAGGGAAAATAACCTTTACAGATGTTTATTAACACAAACGACGAGTCCTGATTGGGTTCTGAGAAAGTTTTTTAGCTACAAACATCTCCACCATGCAGCCTCATTAATTAAAGTTACTGAGTTATCAAGATTTTGGTTCTCCATGCCAAATAACCACTATCTATCAGGTGGCAGGTCCCTTTTCAAAATTTCTTCAGGGATTTTCTAATTGTTGGTTTGTTCTTTGTGTGTTTTTTCCTACTTAAGGTGTTTTCGTTCATCGTTGAGGATGAGGAGGAAGAGGGATTTTAATTTTGACCCTCTGTGAATCCTGACCCCAGGTCCAACCCACCTCACCTGGTTTCTCTCAGTGTTGAGGAGCAAATGTTCCACTTCAAGCTCCTCTTGGATGTCTGAGCTAATTTGTATGGTGGTTCTTGCAGGAGGCTGTTTCATAAAAGTGATTATTTTGGAGAGAGGATGATATTTCTGAAAGACGCGCACAAAAACTTATAAAATTGTGTTTGCATGAACCACACTGCATCGTGTTTTAGGATGTCAGAAATCCACTTTAGTATAGGCATGCCTGCACTAGCCCTTAGCTTATCAATCCATCACCATATCCAACTCATAACTAGAGATAATTTAGTCACCAGTTAACCTAATATATCAGGTGGCAGGTCCCTTTGTTGAATTTCTTCAGAAATGTTCAAAATGTTTGTTTGTTCTTTGTGTTTTTTTCTTATTTAACTTGTTTTCCTTCATCTTTGAGGATGAGGAGGGTGTTTTTTTTTATTTTGATCCTCTATGAATCCTGACCCCATGTTCAACCCACCTCACCTGGCTTCTCTCAATGTAGAGGATGCCTGTACTAGCCATTAGCTGATCAATCCATCACCATAGTCATGACTAGGGATATTTTACAGTCACAGATTAACCTAACCTGCATGTTTTTGGTGTGTGGGGGGGAACCCGAGCACCGGGAGTAAACCCACACATGCATGGGGAGAACATGCTAACTCCACGCAGAAAGGATGCAGGATTTGAACCTGCAGCCTTTGAGCGAGGCAACAGTACTGTCTGCTGCGCCACCATGCAGCCCTGTTTTTTAAACTAACTTGTTTTGTTTGTTTTTTTGTTTTCATGGGAGAGTGTTGAAGGTTTATTTTTTGGTTCTTTGGGAGTTTGTGGTTGTTTGTTTTAGGGGGGGTGGATAGAACATGTGAAGGACAGTGGTTTTAGCCACTTCCATCAGACGAGTCCTTTCTCTTCCACCTCTGAGGCTTTCTAAGTCCCAGAAAATGTCTCAGTCGTTTCCAAACTGAAGGCTGTTTTTTCTTTGGCTCTGAGATGTTTTCAGAGACCAAAGTTTGTAAAGACTCAGGATCAGAGCTGTTAGTTCCTGTTGGGAGGATGTCTTCTCTAAGTTCAGTCACTTCCACAGCTGGAACAGGGGTCAGCTCCTGGCTTGGTTCCTCTCTACGAACTAGTTTCCTTTTACGAGGACCAAACTCATCCCTTTCTTTCAATTCAGCAATGAGAGACTGGTTTAGCTGGACTTGATTGCTGAGCTGGCTTTCCAGGTGTTCAACCCCAACTTTCAAGTCCAACTCTTTGTCAGACGCTGTTTTTTGGATCACATCGATCTCCTGATGTAAACCATCATTTTCCAGCATCAGTTTGATGATTTCAGTCTCACTCTTAGCCTGTATTTCAGAGTGAGACGTCACTTCATCTTTCAGTTTTTGGTCCAGATTTTCTCTTTGCTGTTTTAACTCAGAAACCTCAGCTTCATGTTGGTTTCTGAACTCCTGGTAAGAAGCACTGATCTTCTCCAGTTGTGCAGAGAGCTGCATTTCCTTCTGCTCAGATGTTTGTCGCAGATGGAAGAGAGCCTGATGGAGGTCATCTTTCTGAGCTCTCAGCTGGAAAAGCTGCTGTTGGTCGAGCTGCATTTTCTCAGTGAGAATCTGTATTTCTCTGTCAGACTGTTCTTGCAGAGAAGACACTTCCTGCTGATGGGCTGAAATCTCTAGCTGGTATTTAAGACTCAGTTCCTGATTTTGGCTCTGCAGTCTGTTCATTTCAGTTCTGAGAGTCTGGTTTAGCTCCTTCTCTGCTTAGAGCTCAGATGAAAGTTGCTCTAAGTTTTTAATATGAGCAACCTTCAGTTCTTCATAATCCTGCTGAAGATGTTTCTTTTTGCGATGTTTAACTGAAGTCTGAACCTGAGAAGCGATCTTGGCGTTACTGAGAGTCTCTGAATTGCTGTATTTCTGAAGTCTCTCGAGTTCTCTCTTCGTTTCTTTTCCTTTGTTGATATACATTTCTTTCAGAGTCTTCTGTTTCACCAAATTAGCTGTCGCTTCATCTAGTTCTTGCTCCAATTGGCAAACACGTTGATTCTCGTTGAACCATTTAGTTTGCTCCTGTTTCAAAAGAGCATTCAGTCTCTGAACCTCGTTCTGCAGACTAAGCTGATCCATGGAAGCCTGTCGAGCACTGGCTATGGTTCTCTGGTTAGCCATCGGATAAAAGGTTTTAAGAGTAATGCTGTGAGCAAAAACACTGTCTGTAAAACACCGTGGGTAAAATACTGGTGATTAAACCGCTGGGGATACGATCTGCTGAACTCAAGACGACAAGGCCTGCTGAGAGCAACTGCAGTATGCCACTCTGTGAGCTAGTGAATGCAGTGTGATGATGTCATGCTATGATGTCATATAGTAGATTAGTGTCCTGGTCTTCCTCTGCTCTCCTTCATTTGTCTTCTTGTGTTCTCCTCCCCCTCTAGGATCCCTTTACGTTTCTCCTTGTGTTCCTCATGTGTCCCCTTGTCTGCAGCACCTCCAGTTTCTCCCCCCAGGTATCCCCCCCCCCCCCCAGATCCTGTGCTCAAACTTCAGAATCTACTATATGACATCACCACACTGCATTCACAGCTCACACAGAGTGGCAGACTGCAGTAGCTCTCAGCAGACCTTGTCGTCTTGAGTTCAGCAGATCGTATCCCCAGCGGTTTAATCACCAGTATTTTACCCACGGTGTTTTACAGACAGTGTTTTTGCTCATGCTATGAGGTCATATAGTAGATTCTAAAGTTTGCCCTTTTGACAGATGAATTTGATAAATGAATTTATTTATCAAATTCATTTATCAAGTTAATTAACTCTTTCGATAAATGAACTAGATAAATTAATGTGATAAATCAATTAGTTTATGTAATAAATTTGATAAAGCTTAATTGTGTTTGGCACAGTAGTCATGGTAACCGAGTGGGCAGAGCCTACCTTGTTTTCTTTTGTTCTTTCTTCATTTCTATTCTTATTTCGTTAGATATTTATTTATGTTTTGCAATTTTTCTTTTTTTTTTTACTTTCTCTTCATTTGTTAAACGGGTTTAGGTATCTTCTTCAGCAGGCAGCATTCAAATAGAAATGCAATTTATAACCTTTTGATGAATTAATTTGATAAATTAATTCATTTATCAAAGGTAATATTTATTATTTCCTGGGCTTGAGTAGGGTAACTAGATCCAAACTTGCTGAATGTGGAAAACGAGACTACTCAGTGTGGGTCAACGTGAAATTCCAATTCGACGAGATAAATTAAAAAATAAGTAAGAAAAAACATTATTCTGTCTCTTAGCTCTTACATCTCTGTTTACTATGTGATGAACATAAAAGTGTTGTTAATATTATTATGAATAAAAAATTATAAATAATAATATTAATTACATTATTATTATTATTATTATTATTATTATTATTATTATTATTATTATTATTATTATTATTTCATACTGTATATTTTATTTGAATTCAACTTGAACTAGCAAAACTATGAAGCTTTCATACTATTTCACATACTATGTATGTGTCTCCTTGTCTGCAGCACCTCCAGGTTCTCCCCCCAGGTCCTGTGCTCCCGTTGGTCTCCCCTAGTCACCCCTCTGTAGTTTTTCTATAGGTTCAGCTTTTCATATTTTTATACTTTAATTTTTCTTTTTTTTTATTTGTTTTTGTGAAGCGCCATGTGATTTTTATCTTGAGAGGCACCATATAAAACATCGTTTTATTTCTTTCTTCCACTGAAGTTTAAAGCCACTGCTGCCATTTTCCAAAGAGAGTTTTATCTTGAATTCAACATTTTTTCAGGCAGCAAAGAAAAATAATCAACAGGTTAACACTTTAACACTGTGTATTGGTCATTTTAGCACAAGCCTTGAACACCCCACCACCACCACCACCACCACCAATCACACACACACTCATGGGAACATCCGGGGTCTGGTCAAGCGTCAGCACATCATGCAGTGAGGATAAAGAAAGGACACATTCTGTGGTTGACAAGTGAGTGGAACCATCTGTAGAGTGTTGGAGTTTCAGCATGCAGTCGTTTTCTTCAGCAGTATGAAAATACACACCGTCTCTCCAACCTGACCTGCAGTGCTGCTATTTATTATTTCAACCTGAAGAGGAAATGTTTGGTAACATAATCTGTTCTGCGCTGGCGTAAACTAACGGTGACTGTAGAGCACGATGGGCTTCAGATCAGTAAAATCAGTAGCCTTGTAAGAAATGTCACATCCTGTGCAATTTAAAATGTGTGCAAATGTTTTGACTGTCAATTTCTCGCGAAAGATTTCTAAAATGTGTTGCATCAGTTAAAGGTGAGACAGCTGAAGAATAAATTGTCTTCTGCAGCATGTTTTGTTTTGATGCTTTGCAAATCTTCAGTTTCTACAACACATTTATGTTTTACCTCTCAACATAACTCAACATCCGCTATGGTTACGCTACTAACAGCCTTTATTTATTTATTTATTTTGCTACTTGTCCTGTCCTGGCAGTTGAAACAGACCGAATGTTGATCTGGGTGCCATAACATGCCAGAGCAGTTTTACTCAGAGGGATGTGGGATGTTCCTCCTGTAACGCAGTAGCCTTTATTATGTTTGTGGCATATTAGACCCTGGACAGGCAGGGAGAAAAGAGACGTACAACTCAAACAGGGAAATAATGGATGGGGAGAAATGGAAGGACAACAGTACACAACAGACCACAAATACACAGACAGGACAAGACAGGGGTCAATATAAAAAAAAAGGATAAATGAAGTAGGAAGTGTTGGTCTCTCTTCCGTTAGACCAAGCACGGGTACGGAGTTGATGGAGTTAAACACCTTTTAAGTTGACAGAACGAGGAGACAAATGATCAGAAGTCCATTCACTGTTTCGCCGCTCATGAGGGGGAGAGTCTCTGCAGCAAGTCCCGCGACCTGCTCTTGCCAGATGCTTCGGACAGACTCTCGCCGTTCTGCTGAAAACGGCTGATTTTTATTGAAGATTACAGGAATGTTACATACGTAGTTTGCCATACACACACGTAATTCTGCCATCTGCACCTGCAGACGCACGTCAGCTAATAGCCTTGTTAATGAAAGACCAATTCATCCCAAGGACATGCAACCTTGAGATGATCAGGACACATCCTGCAACATCCTTTGCTAACAAAGACAGTTGTTCTTGTATTGAGGAACTGAAGGAAGGAACGCTTTCACTCCCTTATGCAGCTGTTCAGCTTGAGCAGAAAAGGCACAGAGAGGTCTTTGATATTATAACAAGATTCCATGAAAAGGCATATAATAATGTATTTATGATAATATATAAGGGGCAAAAGTGAGAGATACATATTTAATCATATAAAAGAGCTTATAATAATATATGAAAGAGCTTATATGAGAGATATATATTTTCAATCCCCCTTTTGAACTCTTTTAAGAGTTCAATAAAGATATAAGAAATCAAAACAATAACACCAAATTCCATCAAAAAGAATCCAATAAGCAAAGTTTTTTTAAAATACCAATACAAACAACCAATCAGATTACATTTACTCATCTTTCTAGCAGTAAACCAATACAAAAAACATGATCATACTTTCAACTGAACATGTTACAACATGTATGGATCGCATGCAACTCCATATGAGGGCGAAAAACCCTAATTATGTACGTCAAATAGGGAAAATTCCCCCATGTCCCCCCATTTGTCATATCTCAATTTTGGGGCGAACACCTGTTGGCATAGAGTGTGCATGCCTAGGACATCAATGATCAAAAAAAAAATAAAAAAATAAAAACAACACAATCAAAAAACTCATAGAAATAAACAGTTTAAGGAATCGTTACAGAAACCACTCAATATTCTCACACTCTAACATCTTCTTCATCATGAGAGTCATCACTATCATCAGAGGGTTCCCCTCCCAAATAGATGTTAGGATTGGCTAGTAACAAGGGCATCTGGATAATTGGGTCAGCAGGTGGAGGGTGTAAAATATTACCCTTGTAAAATAAATGAGGGTGTTAAATACAACCCTTGTAGAATGTTCATAGGGTGGTTACTTCTTCCCCCTGTTGAGGACCCTTCACTGGCTCCAGGCAGCTGCAGGGGGTGATGATGTCATGATTCTCGTCCTGCAGGATGTGGTGGCAGCTTGGCACGCTACTGTAGTCAGCTACTTCTCTTCCTGGTTTTTGGATCCTTTCTCTGGTTGGTCAGATGTCAGCTGTTTCTCGTCCTGGTCCTTGGGTACTTCTTCTGGTCAGGCAGATGTCGGCTGCTTCTCTTCCAGGTTAGGCTCCTCCCGTCCAGCCGGACAGCGTGTGATGTCCTCTCCGTGATCCTGTATGGCCCGGTCCACCTCGGTTCCGTCCACTTCCTTTTGGTGACTTTTAGCAGGACCCAGACGCCTGGCACCGAAGGCGAAGTATCTTCGTGTGCGTGGTTTTGGTCCAATGAAGGCTTTCTCGGCTTGTGCAGTCCTTGATCTCGGCAGATAGTTGGTAGGAAGATTCACACTCCGGCCGGACCAGAAGTTCCCCGGACCGATCGCCTAGGGATTAGAGGTTATGCACAAAAATGTCCTAGCTCTTACTGACCCTAGCCTCTGATACCTTCAACATCAGACACATACAGTTACGAACAGCAAGCGCAATTAAAGGTACAGTGACATCACGACATGGACACACACAGACACACAAACACATACACATGCACATACACAGAGAGAGAGGGAGAG